CCTAAATGTTTGTGTGAACAAAACGTGGAGTTTACGTGAGTCATCAGCGTGATTACATCACTGCTGGTCATAAATCTGGAAGCTTAATTTTTCACAACAAACCACCAACATGAAGGACGAGAGTCAAGTTAAAAAGAGTTAACACGAACAGGAAAGGACTTTCGCATCAAACTAAGAGCTTCCAAATATGTCACTTTTGAAAAAGTTAATAAACGTCTAAGTATTTGATATTAAGTGACACAAATGTTAGAGGCGAAATTTCTCTGAATGTTATATTTGTATTATAACTTTATTTAATACTAATAAGCTTGTATGATGAGCGATATATAATAGTGCTCATTAGCCGCTCGAACCGGAAGTCTTACATCCAGCTTCTGACTTAGCTCGAAGCTAGCGCGTCTGTGGCGCACACCATTTCTACGTCACATCCGGTGGAGGAGTGAGGTCCTTTTTTTTTTGTTTTCCCGTATCCGCCATTTCAGTTTTTTTGAAGTTAGTTGTCATCGGTCCGCTGGATCGTAGCTGGAATTCTGTGGCTAAAAATAATAATAAATTAGAGCTAAATTCCCACCATTAACCACATAAGCGTGCTCTTTTTTATTTCCGGGTTGCGGCTCTTGTGTCCGTTGGTTTTGATGTCCCAAACGGCTACAGCTGCGGGTGGTGTTGCCTGGTTACTAAACGTGCTCTTAAGGCGCTAAAGTTTTTTTTGTATGTAGTTGAAGGCCCGCCGGTCGAAAGCCTCGGCTTCAAGAGGGGCTTTTTAGAAAAATACATAAAATCATGGCCGGGATTTTCAACGCGGAGGACCGCGGCAGCTGGTACTGGGGTCGGCTGAGCAGACAGGAGGCTGTGTCTCTGCTACAGGGTCAGAGGCACGGAGTGTTTCTGGTCCGGGACTCCATCACCAGCCCCGGGGACTACGTGCTGTCGGTGTCGGAGAACTCCAAAGTCTCGCATTACATCATCAACAGCATCAGCAACAACCGACAATCCGGTCCAGGTGAGGAGGGGGTAGCTGGTTGTGGGTTCGGCTGGAAGGAGGTGTGAGGTGCTGATGGGACCGTTCTTGCATGACTTGCACCAAAAAGAGATGCGCAATAGAGCCCCTTATTTAACACTATGGAGAACAGACCCCAGCTCTGACAGCACTAGAACTGCACCTCACTGTCCTCCACCTGTCTGCTGCCACCTGTCTGTCTACCTGCATGTGTCTTATTGTTGTTTAGCTGAGTCTCACTGATATATATATATATATATATAATCACATACTCTGCATGTGTTTATGTTTCTACTACTTATATTAATATTCTCACTTCTTAGCCTCTTGGTGCATTTACAGCAACGTTTATATTAATGTGCACTGTCTCTTGTCAGATAAACTAATAAATAAATAACAGGAACAGGGCACACGTGTGTGGTCGAAGTTCTAGACTCTCTAGATGTTAAACTTTTACGCATTTTGTGCACGTCTCTGTCATTAAAATGCATCATGGTGGCTGCTGGGAGTTTTTAACTGGCACTGATTTCTTTAAGAAATGAGCCTAATTTACTAGCTGAGTCTATTAAGTTGTAAATATTCAAAAAGTCTGTCATAACGCCACGTTTCTATTGGACGTTGTCCCTCCCTGTCTGTGCTGGAACACACATTATTATTATTGGAAGGAACAGAAAAAGAACAAGGAAATAAATGCAAAATAAGGAAACAAAAGTCTCTTCCTGGCAGTTCTGGAAAGCACCTCCATGATGCTCGGTGACACAAATAGATTCAGATGTGACGGAGCATGAAAGAAGTTATACCATGTTGTCTTTTCCAGGTTTGGCCCAACCGAGGTTCCGTATCGGCGACCAGGAGTTCGAGGCCCTCCCTGCTCTGCTAGAGTTCTATAAGATCCACTACCTGGACACCACCACTCTAATAGAACCCATCAACAAGTCCAAACACACCTCCTTCATCAGGGTGGGCCCCGGCGGACCCCCGCCCGGCCTGGAGGACGAGTTCGTCCGGGCGCTTTTCGACTTCCCCGGTAACGATGAGGAGGACCTCCCGTTCAGGAAGGGCGACGTCCTCCGGGTGCTGGAGAAGCCGGAGGAGCAGTGGTGGAATGCCCAGAACTCTGAGGGCCGGGCCGGGATGATCCCGGTGCCGTACGTGGAGAAGTACCGGCCGGCGTCTCCGAGTTCGGCGGCGGCGGCGGCGGGGGGGCCCAGTGTACCGGGGGGGCCACCGGGAGGAGTGGGGACGATTGGGAACTCCGACGGTTCCACCGCGGTGGCTCAGTCCGGAGCTCCGCTGCTGGGAGACCCGAGCCAGTACGCCCAGCCCACCCCTCTACCAAACCTCCAGAACGGACCCGTCTATGCCAGGGCCATTCAGAAGAGGGTCCCCAACGCCTACGACAAGACCGCCCTCGCCTTAGAGGTAAATATGGACTCAATGTGTGTGTGTGGAGACCGTTAGCGGAGAACGATCCCGGACCAAGAAGGAGCTCAGATCCTCTCTTCTTCTACACCTTTTGATTATTTCTTCCTCAGTATTAGTTCAGCAAAGTGAAGCTTAGTTTATACTCACGAGGCGCGCCGAAAATGACTCAATCACGGGAGGAATAGTTCACTGATAAAAACACAATTTACACGTCTAGAGATAAGACAAAGAAGGACAATTAGATGTTTTAGAAACAGGAAGTATTACAAATCTACATTTGAGTTAATATTTTGCAGCCAAATCAAATAGTTCAGAAGATATTCAACCTTTGTTTCTTTATAACACATTTAATACTTGACTTGTGTCTTTACAGGGTTTCTATAAAGGTAATAAAGTAGTTTATGAAGTTGAGATATGAGTTTACAGATAATTACAATCCCTCCTCGTCATTGTAGAGGTTTGTTTATGATCATATCTCTGAGTTACACTCGTCTTTTTGAGTCTCCACAGTTCATTTTCTTTGTTCGTCCTCTGGTGTTTCGTAGAATAATAAAGCAACACATTGAGTATAAACGCTGTTGAAGCTCGGATGTCGCTCGCTGTCTGCGGAGGCCTCACGCTACGACAACACGCTCGATTATAAACAAAGCTGGAAGAGGAATAGAGACCGCAGTAGTTCTTCTACATAATCTGGTCTCTTGTTATCTCTGCTGCAGAGCTCGGTCCAGTAACGTTACAGTTAGCTTAGCATAAGTCTTTATTAACTCCCTGGCTTCCTCTTTCTGGACTAGAGAGAGAAATGATTATGAAGCTCTCGGTGGCCGGACTGTTTAAAGTGTCCGGAAGCGAGAGCGGGGCTCCCACGGAGCAGGTCGTTGAGGGGGGGGGATAGTTTGTGTTTTGGGAACGAGACCATTTCCTCTAGTCTCTGTGAAGCCTGGAGTCCAGCTGAGTCCGGAGCGAGACTAGAAGAACAGTCAGAGTATTCTCTTGTCTCTCTTGAAGACATTATTTCAAATCCATCCTCAAATCTTTACCTTTTCTTTTGCTTTTCGTGAAGTCAAACCACAAGTCTGCTGCTGGTTGACTTGTTCTCTGCAGCTCTTTGGGTTGTTTATAACTTGGCTTTATAGACGGGAGGATCCTTTTTGTGTGAGCTGGTGACAAGGTAGTGGTAGTGCTGGTAGTGACTCAGCAAGGCGGCACTAGTGGACGGTTAATGATTAGCCCACGTTTCCTTCTACCCTCTGATGGTAGAGATCTCTCTTTTAGTTTAGTTTCATTGTGCATCCTGTTAATAACTCTCATGTCCACGATGCATGATGGATCCCTGCTTCAGGTGGTTATATGTATTAATGCCGTTACTCTCCAGACTCAGACAGTTGTGACGGTGGTTACATGTCGTGATAAAACTGGACTTAAAGGTGCTGAATTCAGAGAATTAATACAGCAGCAAACAGCTGTAGTCTATGTAGATGTAGAGGAATAACGTTGACCCGAGCACAGAATGAAGTCGCTCTTCCTCTGTTTGTGTGTTGTAATCGGAGCTTCTCTGTGCTTTGTTTACGTGGCCGGGCCGGCTAGCTAGTCGCCGTCGCTCTTCACTGCGATGTCCCGCGTAACGTCCACCGTCCAGTCGTTCTGTTAGCTCTGTTAGCTCCTAGCTGTCGCCATGTTGAGAGCCGTGTGGAGGCAATCCCTTAATCACACATATGCTCTTAATTTTGAATTTAGCACCTTTAAACTTTGATTTCCAGTCCATGAATATCGTCGATACAATTTTTTATTAATCCACTTCGGTCCAGGAGCAAAGGAGGGAGGAAGCTAACGGCATTAGCGATAAATCTGCAGATTATTTTCCCGATAAATCGTGTGTTTTATAAAATGTCACACAAATTCTAAAACATATTGTCCATCACGTCTTTCTAAAGCTGAAGGTGAAGTCTTAAAACTAAAAGTGTTTTTGTCCAAACAACGATCCAAAACCCTAAAATATGTAATTTATAAATCATAATAACCAGAGAAAGGCAGTAAATCTTCACATGTAAGAAGCTGGAAGTTAAACAGCTCATAATTCATCTCTAATATCTATTTTATATTCATAAGAAAACATACCTTCAGCCAGTACTAATTTTCACTGAGTAGAGCCTGAAGGCATCATAATGTAACTGAAGTGAACCTCCGTTGGTTAGCCGTTAGCGGTGCTGCTAACGTTACTAGCTCTCCTCCT